TGCCACCTGTAGAGCTAAAGAGCAGGCTGAACAATGGAGATAGTTTATAGTCTTCAAAAAGCAGAATATTTGGCAATTTTTGTAGCAGATTTCATGAGAAACAATCCAGGATTATTCACATATTTGAATAAAAATTACACACCACCACGGAGAAGCTCAACAAACAGACAATAAGAGAAATTAAATATATTAAAAATACAACAATCATAAAATATTAGATATATTAAATGCGCTTATAGTTTTTACTCTGTATTGACAACATCTGTTTTTTGTTGTTGTTGTTTGTTATTAATGTATTTGAAATGATATACCACTTTTCTCAGCTTACTGACCAACACACTTTTAACCACACATTCATAAAGCACAGAATATACAGTTCTGCTCTCAGCATCACTCCAGACACTGTAGTAATCCATTTGTAAGTGTGCTGCTCCACTCCTCCCCAATTTAAAATAAAGACACACGAAGCAACTTATCCTAAAACAGAGAATGGACACCTTATCCCTTTTCAGTGTAGAACCACCACTGGTAATTTTCATTCATACCCAATGACCCTTGGCTTCAATACTAGGTTTGCAAAGATTAAAGGCCACTAACCTTGAAACCTTCTATCATTTAGCTGTAACGTGAAATTTTGTCCTTACAGGTTATGAACAGAATAATTCACAAATAGCAGCCGATCCTAAATCCTAACTGAAACTAGTCTTGAAGTTATTTATTTCTTGTAATGAAAGCCCTGGTCACAGACCAGGCGTTGGTTGTTTAACAAAAACCAAGCCATAATAAAATGGCAGGAACAATACAGTCTGGAAGTCCAGAGGTCAAAATGGGACATGCCCCCCAGGATGGCTGATAATGACCAAGCTAGGGTTCTGTGGGACTTCCAGTTAAAGACAGACAAGCTGTTGATGGCTAACCAACTGGAACAGGAGTGGTGGACAAGCAGAGGAAGACGGCCGTAGTGATAGCTGTAGCTGCACCGAATGACAGCAAACATCGGGAAGAAGGAACACGAGAAGTACTAAGAGTTGGGAGGAGAACTCCAGAAGATGTGGAGGGTAAAGGTAACAGTGGTCCCAGTGGTAATCTGAGTACTTGCGCAGTGATCCCCCAAGCTAGGCAAGTGGCTCCAGCAGATTCTACGAACACCTTCGGAAATCTTTGTCCAGAAGAGCGCAGTCCTAGGAACACAAAGATACTGCAGGACCCTCAAGCTCCCAGGCCTCTGGTAGAGGAGTCAAAGGGCAAGACCGCCCACAGGAGTGAGAGGGTAATTGTTTTATATATATATATGTTTGTAAGTGTGTTAATAGAGGGTTTATAAATACATATTTCATATTGTAATTCATGTTTCATTCAGTTGTTAGTATTTTATGTGACCTCACCAAAGTGATAAGAATTTTTTGCCTTATGAAGCATTTATAAATAAAAAAAAAAGCCTCAGCCATCTTCACATCAGAAAAATGACACAAAAATTTATTTCCAGATGCAAACATGACCCATCTCAGGTTTGCAAATTATTAAATGTAGGTAGGACCAGAGTCGAAGTCTTTAAGAGGTTAAGAGAGAACAATACACTGAGCAAGTGGAGCCACAGAGTAGCTTCACTTAAATGTACGGCAGCTTCTTCATTTATAATAAAATATCAATGTTATCACAAAACAATAGTGGACATTTCAAAGATCTTCATAAATAACTGCAAATGCCATAAACAAAGTTCCCATATTTAAATGATAATGGAGGAAATAAATGTTAGTTCATTCATGAGGTTCAACTTTCCTCTCATTTGTCGTCTGTTAGGTAGCTTTAGTAAGATGAACGTGGCTTCATGACCAAGCAGAGGTACGACATTTGTTGTCCTGCAGTGAGTTCTGTTGTCAGATGGAGCCAGTCTACAGAGTATATGATACAACTGGTCTGTGGGCCACTCTTGTCTGTGGTTTTGCTGGTAAGTCAGCAAAACCACAGAGAAGAGCAAAATTATAACAAAGAGAGAAGTGAAACTGAGTGTTAAAACTATGAAAAGTGTTCCCTCTCTGCTCGAGTCCAGACCACAGAATCACAGGATTCTGGTCAGACAGGACTATAAAACCATCATGTCAGTAACCAGTAAGGTTCAGTTCTAAAGTGCTTCTGAAATAAACGAAGTAGTCAGGCTGTGCTTTCAAATAGGTGAACTCTACTGGGTGATCTTCTCCTCAGTACAATGAAAACTCAGAGCAGTTTGTCGGGATAAGGAGGTGATCAGATTAATTAAATATTATTAAAATAAATATTATTCATTCTTAATCTTAATATTACTATTACTAATACAATTTGATGAAGTCATGCAGATTCACAAGGTTGAGGTGGTTCGGGCATTTGACAAGGATGCCTGCTGGGCACCTCCTGGGTGAGTTGTTCCAGGCATGTCCCATCGGGAGAGGCCCCAGGGCAGACCCAGGACACGCTGGAGAGATTATTATATCTCTCAGCTGGCCTGGAAATGCCTTGGTGTCCCCCCGGACAACCTGGGGGAGGTGGCTGGGGAGAGGCTGCTGCCCCTGCGACCCGGCCCCGGATAAGCGAAAGAAGACGGATGGATGGATAGATGCTGATTAATCTAAAGAAATGGAAACAAATTATGTGTTTTTGAGACAGACTGCTAGTAACAAAATGTCTAAAGACACAATTTAAAATTGATTCATCAAAATAGTATTTTATTGCTTATGAGTAAGTATTGTATTTGCAAAGGTGGGGTAATGGGTGGCATTACTGGAAAACCAAAAGACATAAATCATTAGCTTTTTGCTCTATAGAGTATAGATTGCTGGGAAGAAGTCAAAATAACCACATGCCCCAGAACCAACAAGTACCTGCATCCCAGGAAGGGGTAGGACTGTCCAGTGGGGAGTGGTGACCATCTCCCACAAAGATCAAGGCTCAACAAGCCCCAGACTGGGACTCATTCTTTCCTTTTTGTCACTATGTAACAAAACTTGGTTTATATCACTTTATGGAATTCCAGTTATTTTGACTGTTGTCAAAGTCTGATTACTGTGATTTTAAAATTGGGTATAACCATAATGACTGACAGAAACCAAAATAAAACCATCAGGCTCCACCTCTGACTTAGCTACCTCTAACTGCTTCCTTTTTTCCCAAGGTACAGCCACAGCATCCAGCACAGATGGATCACACGCTTGATTTTGCATAGTTTTTATATTGGATACCCTTCCTGACAAAATGCTCCCATTTATCAGGGTTTAGAACAAGCAGAAAGGGTACACTAGCTTATGACCCATGAAGCGTTTTTGTTTCTTGAATTATTATACCATGGAGCCACTGGGCCTTACCTCTAGAGTAAGGAAAGTCGGCAAGTTTTTACTTATTTCAGAGTAGCCTAGACTAACTGAGTTATTGTCAAAATTTAAGTTTATTAAATTAAATTTAAGTTCATAGCTAAAAATATATACATACAAGAAAAATGCCACACTGACTCTGTTTTAAGAAATTTAATTAAATAATTAGTGACTTTCTTGTACTGTTGATATTTTGTGTTATATTGTTGTATTAAACTATATTTACTATCAAACAGGAAACTGTATATCCACTGTAACCACGTTTTACTTTCATTAAAACAATGTGAAAATAATGTATTCATGTGGATTACAGAGAAACACATCAATATACTAAATAATATTAAAGAACACAACAACACAGACTAAAACCATTCATAGATTGGATTCATACTGTTTACATCTCTAAAATAGCTTAATAATATAATTTTTAGTCTTTGCACATAAATACGGTGTCAAAAATATACAAATAATTACATTTCTAACAAACAACAAAAGCTAAATATATATCCACATCCATGATGCTAGTAGAGCTTAATCCAGCCCAAGAGCCTTGACATCAGTGTAGATGCTCTCTTCCTCTGCAGGTTTTGTATCCTTTGTCCCTGATTTGCTCGCTTTTTTAAAAGTTGGTGCCGAATAAACCAACAAGTCCTCATCTGTCTGAGGAAGCAGCACACGTTAATATTTACACAGGTAAACATGCTGGAAGCCTATGGCTCTGTTTGTCCTTATAATTACCTGCTGATTTTCCTGGTCACCACTTGAAATTACATTTGTTTGCAGGGCAACTGCATCTGTATTGTCATTTAAAAAAACAAAAAAAAGCAGTAAAATTAGGTTATATTTGCCTAGTATTGATTGCTTGATGTGATGGGAGTGACTTTGCTTACCATTAGAATATACATATGAACTCTTCTTTAGCTTCTTGATTGAATAAACTAGACAGGCTATAACAATCAGGCTTACAGCCAAAGCGACACATAACAGATAGAGAAATGTATCGTCCCTCTTTGAACAGCTTCTCTTGACTGCTGACATAAAAAAAAAAAAGAAATAATGAAAGTTAACAGTAATTAAAAGTGTTACCAAAAGTATTTTTCAATTATTTGATTACGCATTACAGAATAGATAAAAAACTAAAATGTAACAAAATGCACAAATCCTCTAATTGCCCCCATTATATAAAAATACTACTCAATTACCTTCAGCATCGCCTGTTGTTTTATTTCGAGAAAAAGACTCCACACATGTGGCCACAGCACAGTAATACGTCGGAGAATCAGAAGAGCTGAAGTTTCTGAAGTAGCTGTAGAAACATGTTTTTGTGGAGAGTGC